TGCCTACAGATTACTCTGCGCGGCTATGAACGACCGTTAAATGGAATGATTAATTTTTGAAGGATTTTGAAAACGGAATAAATGATGGTCATGCCAGCCCAGCATCATCAACGTTGAAAAATGCCCCGGCACGAAGTGGTTAACAACAAATATTGAGATCTCATAATCATTTTAGAAGCATAATGGTCCTGTCCTAGCTGTGCATGTGCCTGGCCAACATGGCTGCCATTTCTGAGCTACGTAGCAAGAGAATACTTGTCAATAAAACTATGATTTCCGAAGTAAAACCTGAAGTAGAAGTAAAACCTGAATTTCCAGATGTAATTTCCTGAGAAGGTATTGTGGCGGTTTCCCCTCCGTAGTCCGCGAACCCTTGGCTCGCCGGGCCACTCAGCCCGGTCGCGGCACCACTCGCACGTGATTTGGCCAGGGCCTGGATCCGTTTGGGCTGAAATATACCGCCCGTTACACCAAAGACAAGGGTCACTGAACGAAATGGCACGCCCGGCAAAGATATGTGTGATACCGTCTACTTCTAGCGGGTTTATTCACTTTCACTCGCTTCCTCAATGTGTGAGGTACCCTAACAAACTAATGTAAACAAGGAGGAGGCATGAGGACCCATCGCGCACCCCCTTGCCCTGCCGAGATGCACTGTCGCAAAATTAAGTAAAGGTAGAATACCAGTTCATGTACTCACATGAATTAACTACAACCGTCCCGTCAGTACCCAATCCTTATGCACAATCCAAGATGAACTAACAGTTTGGTCACAATCGTCCACACATTAACTAAATCCCGGTGCCAAAGTTGTGCTAGTCGATCCAATCTGAACTCCTCAGCAGCTCGGCTTAGACTGACCAATTTTTCCCCATTCTGACATTATTTAATTCCCTCCCCTATTTTCCACAGTCTTGAAAACACCATCTTAGCACAAAGATGCAAACCAACGGTCCACAATACCCACTTGAACCTTTCTTCCATTTACTAATCTTTATCATACTCCGGATATTGTCCCCCCCCTTATACTCTCCCCCCTTTTTCCATCATGGCAGTCTTATTAGTTCAGTTTCCCACTTTCTACAACATAATTTACTCACTAAAAACACGTTGTCAATCTCCTGACAGTTACCCCAATACCCCCTTAGTTTCATATCCCCTGACATGACACATTTGACGGCCCCCGGTTTCCAAACTCCCGGACCTAACCCGAAACCTAATTAAACGCATCACCAGTCAACCCCACTGCCATTCCTCTAGAGTTTAAATGACACATTTGACGGCCCCCGGTTTCCAAACTCCCGGACCTAACCCGAAACCTAATTAAACGCATCACCAGTCAACCCCACTGCCATTCCTCTAGAGTTTAAAGGGTCACCAGACATTCGCGTTACAGTATTTTAAACTTCCATTGACATGTGAACTGATGCAAAAGTGTGGTCATGAACATAATCATGCACTTATTCACAATGTAATGGACACAAGTTGACGAAAGAACTTACTTCACTGATCGATGAGAGATTTCCAAGAATCCATAGTACTACATTGTCGCAGAGGCATCTTAGATTAAGGTAAATTTACCAACAACTCGAGGCCATGGGAAAACTGGTACTTTTAAAGGTCAAAAGCACCTGTTATGCCTTGCTTGTTAGTTTTTTTGGGGTTTTTTGCAATTTCCAAAAAAAGTCTTTTTTTTTTTCTCTGACTTTTTTTAATCTTTGGCTTTGTCACACTTTTGGGAAAAAGGCATTTTTGTACATTTTTGCACTCTTTATCTTCTGATTTTTGCCTTTTATTTAAATTTTCTGCAAAAGGCATTCTTTTTCTTCTGAATGTTTTTTCATGGGCATTTTTGGTCACTCTGCAATATTGAAGCTTTATCAAAGTTACATAAAACCAAGTCATATATACCAAGAATGTTCTCAATTAATGACATCAAGATGATGTCATTGGCTCACAAGCTCTCAAATTTTGATATGTTAAATCAAAACAAAATCCATATAAAATCAACTATGGCCCCCAGCAACATTATGTTTGCAGCAAGTGGTAGGGTAAACTGCAGTCTTCATTTCATCTTGTGTGGGGCAAATCATGTGATCTTTCCTTCAAGTTGAGATAGGCTAGAACAGGAAGTGGCTTAGTGTTTAAAAGTGGTAATAAATATCAACTTGTTTTAAATGGTGTTAGTGTCTGTGATATAGTATTTTTCAAAACATCTACCAATGACGTCATGTACATGTAATTCTCAGGCACCCTCTGGCGACAGCTTGTAAGTTGTGCAAAAATGAAGTTTGAATATTTGTCTGTGTCAGAATCGCTTAGGAATTGGTTTGTTTGATGATACCCATTCCACATGTGTGAATGGGTATGTGTCATCAGACCAGAAGTTACAATAAAAAGTCCCATTATTCTTCAAAATTCTGTCAAAAAAATCAACTGTTTGAAGTACACCGTGTGAATTGTCTATTAGATGATAGATGATTGGAGTCCACTGCACCAAGTGTATAACTGGTCTATTTTTTTCACACAGATAAAGTGCCAACAATTAAAAAACGTTACGATATTCGACTACCGTAAAATCTTATTCGCACACTGTGCATTAGCTTCTACATACATGGACATGCAATATATGCCTATACTTAAACAGTGCACAGGCATCCATTCCAAGTCTACACTGCACTCTGCAGGTTAGATTGTTTCCAGACAAGTGGTGCTGAAATCAAATCGCTTTGTATGGAACGTAAAAAGACAAAACAGATTTTAAAATCCCAATAAAGCCTATCCTGTGCTCTTTTCGCAATAAAATAATGTTCACTTTTATTGTACTTAAGATTAATTTTAACATTAAATGTCATATAGTACATACTACTTGTATGCCAAGCACATTTTTCTTCAAATCTTATTGTGATAATTGCTACAAGATAATTACAGGCAAATTTTCGGGAACTATTTGTCAGGTTGTAGTCCCCATAGATTTGTATACGTTTTGCAACAGCCAGACTTTGGCACTATTATTGATCCTAAATGTTGTAATGGGCGCTGTCGTGCTGCTGCCATATTGCTCCCCAAATTAGTTGTTGATTAAGTAGTATTTTCAGATTTTCGTCACTCAGAGTCAGCGTCATGTGGTTTTGTTTGTTTGTTACTGTCAACCTGCAAGACAATTTTGATATTCTGCACTGAAGTAAAATCAAAATGTTTTCTGCTCAAGTTTGGACTGTCTTGCTGCTCTATTTGATATACTGTATTGGTACTGTACAGTGCATATAGCTGAGAGAGCTGCTATTGTTCACTTTACACCATTGACAATAGATGAGCTTCTTGTCCGACTTTTGATGAATAGAGTGACCATTAATGAGCGCACTTCCTCAATGCCTTGTGCTGTCAAGCCAAGCCCTCTTGTCACTGGATCTAGCATGTGTAACATGTGCTATACTAGACAAGCCTTGTACTCTCTTCGCTATAGCTATGGGACCCACCATCTTTTCCCTGATACTTATACTCCCACCAAGGTGTTGGGCATACGTCACAGGAAAGGCA